TACCTTACTTTTCTTCACCAAAGCCCAATTCACTAAGTGGTCTTTCTTTGAATCCCCAAGCTCCCATAAAAGGTCTCTCATGATCTTCTCTAAAACCTTTTCCACCGACACCGGTAATTTGAAAACTGATAGAAAATAGATTGAAAGTTAGCTAGGATTAATCTAATCAAGGTAATTCTCCCTCCCAATGAGATGTAATTTGTCTTCTACCTAGCAAGTTTTCTGCTCAACTTTTCAACAATAGGATTCTAGAAGGCTCTAGATTTAGGATTTGCCCCCAGATATAAGCCTAGGTACTTAATTGGTCAATCAACATTTCAGCAACCAAGTAAGGAAGCACACCTCTCTAGTTCTTCCCTCCCCATATTAACCCCTGTCACACACCTCTTGTTGAAATTCACTCTTAAATTGGAGGTTTTCTCAAAGAATATTAAAAGCTTCATATTCCTCACCCCAACTCCCCCTAAATCTTCACTAAAAAGCGAGGTCATCAGAAAATTGCAAGTAACTAACTACAACCTCATTCCTCCCAACCCTCCACCCTGGCACCCTCTAATTAGACCTTTGTTATCGGCCCTAGTTATTAGCTGACTAAAAGAATCTTCTATTCGGGTAAAAAGGAAGAGAGAAAGGGGATCCCCTTGCCTCAATCCTCTTTTGGCTTCAATGAAGTCTTCGACTACTTCGTTGACCATAATTGAATAATGTACTGAAGTCAGACACTCTTTCATCCACATTCTCGATCTACTACCTAAAGCTACAAAATTCAAGCAAATCCTCTAAGAATGACCAATCCATATTATCATAAGCTTTTTCAAAGTCCAGTTTGCAACCCCAACCCTTCTTTCCTGGAAACTTTGTCCCTTGTTGGATCCCAAAAGTGCCTTTTATGTAGTTTATGATGTCTATAGTATAAACTGAGATAAACACATTAAATATTCTACATGCATTAAAACCACATATAAGCAATGGACATGGATGAGTCCACAACTAGAGTCCCTTTGAATTTGTAAGAGGTAGCACTTGTACTCCAGCTCTTTATGTCAGCTGCTGTTGCTCCTACTTTCTACACATGGAGTTATTTTGACTCTTTCTTTTATGAGTGGTAGTTGGGGGAAGTAGGTGGTTCTATGGATTGGCACTCTTTAATAGGTTCTCCATTGGTTTGTTAGACAAAATGTAGGCTAAGATGGTGATCAAAGTAGACCCAAGGAGGGAGGGGGTTGGGGTTTAGGAGGGTGAGATTATTCAACAAAGCCTTACTTGGGAAATGGTTATAGAGATTCAGGTTGAGTAAAGAGGAAAACTCTTCATGGAGGAGGGTGGCGATTAGTAAATATGGGGTTACAAGATTTGGGTGCGAATCAAGGGAAGTTAGCTCAGCATATGGGGTGAGTGTATGGAAAGGAATAATGGATTTTAATCAGTTCAGATCTCTATTTCTTTAACAAGCTTTGCAGTTGGGGATGGAGCTAGAATAAGGTTTTAGGAGGATGAATGGAGTGGAGTGGGAAGATTGTGTGTGGTTTGCCCAAGATTATTCAGGCTGTTGGAACTGGGAGTGTCTGTTCTCAGTTGTTATGTAAGAATTGTGGAGAAGATAATTTGGTGCCTGAGATTCAGAAGGCCACTCCTTGATAGGGAGTTTGAGGAGTGTTTAAGTCTGCTGGAGAAGTTGGAGAAGGTGAAGATCTCAATCCAGTCTAGGGATGAGATAGGGTGGAAAGAATGCTAAAATGGAAAGTTTACAGTCAAGTCTTGTTATTGATCCCTGTGCAGGAACCAAATGGACTTTCGATTCTTTGGGAGGAGTCTGGGGTAACCCAATACCCCCTAGGGTGGAAGCTTTTGCCTGGCTGGTGGATATGGATAGCGTGTTGACGGTGGATCATTTGAAGTCAAGAGGATTCAGTTTGGCCAGCATTTGTTTTATGTGCAAGGAGGAAGAGGAATCAGTCAGCCATCTCCTCTTTGAATGCAAACTTATGGTTTCTTGTGGAACCTCTTCACGATACTCTTTGGGGTTAGGAATTTCCAGCCAAGGTCACCTGCTGAAATGTTTTCTACTTGGCCAAGAATCAGGGGAGTAAAAAAAGGCTAAAATAATATGGAGCTGTATTCCACTTTCCATATGCTAGAACATCTGGAAAGAAAGGAATAGAAGAGTCTTTGAAGGCAAGGAGTGGAAGCTGGATAGATTGGTGGCATCTGTGGGAAAATTAGTTGCAGATTGGGTGTTGATATTGCCAAAGTTCTCTCAGACGAAGAGAGAAGATTTAGGAGAAAGATTGTGGAGGTGGTGGATTTACAGAATTATGAAGGGGAAATTTAAAATTGTAATGTTTTTGTTTTTCATCTTTTGGTTGTTTGGTGCTACCTTATCACCTATCCAGATTGTACTCCTTTTATTTTAATGAAATTTTCTTTCACTTATAAAAAAAATGGTGATCAAAGTAATTCTACAGAGCCATCAAATTTTACATTACAGGTTGTATTTTTTTGCTCTTCAGGTCATGTCATAGCCTAATTCAAGTGTATATATTTGGAATGATGGTGATAAAAGATTCTAGTAATTTCTTTAATTATTTTGCAATGGAAATTAAAAATTCAAGAATCTTGATAATCCAAATTCCCAAGATCACGCACATGGTGGTGTACACAATCCAAATTTAAAATAAATTAATCTGCATATTTCTATGTAGATCAATTTCCAAGAAAGTTATTCAAATATTGCCTTTGTTCCTTTTCTACAGCCTTGCAAATGCTTGGCCTCCAAGATAGTCCACATAGAGCAGCAGCAGATCAAATATCCTAAATCCTTCTTAGCATTCGATCCAAGAAAGAAAGAGGAAGAGGGGGCGGGCTCCAAGAATGTGCTAGCAATCTATTTGTGTTTTTAGGGTTTAGAGTTGTAGTATAAAAGGCTCTCTTAAACCCTAAGTCCCTAAGGTCACCACCCCATGAATTCCTTATATCGAGTTATGCTCTAATTGCACTTAGGAAAGCTTATCTTATAAGTTTTGGATAATTGCAATTAGGCCCCTCCACAAATGATGCCAAACTCCTTCAGTATTTCCAAATGGAACTCCTTCCATCTGAATTGAATTAAAACTCCTTCCACAAGTCATGAGTGACACCTAGCAGCATGTCATGACCACCCTAATTGTTTTAATTTCATGGAATGAACCTTTTCATCTCTAGTTACCATGTAGTAGGATCCTTCTATCATATAATGTCTTGAAAGAGCAAAGGGTCATGATGAATATGTCAAACCCTACTGGCAGTCATATGTCCTACTGAATTGATGATGACCCATCTTGGAACTCTTTCCATAAACCATGTTGCCTTGGCCAAGGGCTTCCTGAGTCACATCAATCTCAGTTGCTTAGGTGATAGGACATTCTCCCACCTCATGAAGAGTGACATATTCCATTTTTGTGCATTCACATGCCTCCATGTACAAGTCACCATATCCAACATTTGCATGCTTACATCCCTTGATTAGGGTATAAGTATTTGCATTGTCAAACTATGGAGGCTCATGCACAAGGCATCCATGATGCCTCAGGTCTAAGGATCATCTACATAACTGTGATGATAGAATCGGTTATTGACAAAAGATTCCATGTAATTATTCTATTAATGGGTCAAGTTCAATGAACTTGTTCTCTAACAAGCACCCATGACAACAGTTGACAATCATGTTCAGGATGAGTAATACATTGTTAAGAAGATATGTTGACATTGCAATTGACTATAAGGTGAGTGAAGAGGGAATCAGAAATTAATTATGTTTGAGAAAATATGGGATTTAAATAGAACTCTACACAATCACTTGACGTAGGAGCCAAGAGGTCAGATATGGAATTTTCTGAATTTTATCTGTACTTGCTATTTTTTGATGGTGGGGGTATTTTGACCATTTTACATGTTGTCAATGTGGTCCAGAAAAAAGTTTGGTTTGTCTGGTAATAGTTTAACTGTGCTCAAAGTTTCATATTAATTGGCTAAGTAGTCTTGGAGTCCTAAGTTTTCTTATCACAACTTAACTGAGCCTTAATCCCAACTATTTGGAGCCAACTCTAATTACTGAGTTTTCTTATGATGGTTGCAATTGCAATTCTGAAATTTTCTTAGTTTTACTAAGATTAACCACCCTTATGGTGTGTAAATATGTTATAAGTTAATAATGTTGATTAATGAATGAAGCAAGTTTTATGAGTCCTTATAACCTATGCTAAGAACGGTGAGTAATTTCAATAAAACCTACAGCAATTCTGGGTGCCTGTTGAGTGATTCTGAATTTTCTTCCCCTTTATTCTCCCAATATTCTCTTTAATTCTTCAAACAACCATTATAGCTCTCAACAGCCCTCAAGTTCTTCATATTAAGAATTCATTCAATATTCTCTTAGGCTCAGTGATTTCTTATCACCTTAGGCTGTATGTTCTCTTTCTTTTAGTAACTATTCTCCTTACCATTAAAACAAATACTTCTTGGGATTGGTTGGGTTCCTATTTGGAGGATTTTGTTTGACTTCCCATCTAAGAATCCTTGGCTATGTCAAGAATCGAAGTAATTCGACACAAGCATCTAGCTTTATCACAAATGTTAGATTTTCTTGTTGCATCACTTTCTCTGTCCTTGTTGACTTTACTAATTTACGTATTTGCCAAATTTCAAAATTCATGTATAGTTGTTTTCTAATGTTCAAATATATTAATACATTTATTATTGTAGAACTTTATCCTACTAGAATTCTTGGATGCTTATTGTTCATCGTCATCATCTAAGCCTTGTCCCAACTATATGGGGTCGGCTACAAAAATCTTGTTCCTGCTATTCCCAACTATATGATTGTCATACTAGTCATATTTACCGGAAAAATATTAAGAATAAACTCTCTGAGCTTATGACTTTTCAATTGTTAGTTCATCCATTTTCAGTTTATTTACTAAGCATTTTTATGAATTAATCATTAACAAGTTCTTCTCTTTCAGTTGATCGAATGCCCATCAATTTATGAGTTGATGGCTTGCCCTAATTTTGATTGGGAAGCAGTTCCACGTCTAGAAATATGGAGAGATAAGCTGGACAGTGATGGTAACTCTACTATTATGCTAGAGTCATATGGGCCAGAAGAAAGCATATCTATATTTAAGGAAGCCCTGACAAGTAACATGGTGAGCCATGTTCCCTTTTAATCTTTGATTACAGATTTATGTATCTTAAAGTATGTTAATTAGGAAAAATGTTTTCTCTAATTACTGTAAGATGCACATGCATACATGGATAAACATAGGTGGACAGGGATTTTTGTTTCCAATGCTTGACTTTGGTGCATGGGTTTACTTGTCCAAAACGAAAAGATAAACAGAAAAAAAGGAAAAGGATAGTGGTTTGTTTAGGCTAATGACCTACATGATTTTGTTTCCAGGTCAATTATGATGGGGTGGTTATTCCTCTACCATTCAACACAGAGATCTTGAAATGGGCTAGTGAAACTCAGAGTGTTTTATCATGTGCTAAGGTTCCCCCGCAAGTTAAATTTTACAACATATATGGGACTAACAATGACACACCTCATACTGTTTGGTAATATTTCTTTCAAACTCATGTATTTCTTGCCACATATTTTGCAGTCTTGCACAATTATGCCTCTATTTCTTTTAAATGGTATCATGTTTGTTTTTCCAAGGGATGTTTGGAAACCAACAAAATGAAATCAGCATACTAGCATATGTGACATTCATCTTGCATGTGGTTCATACTTGCAAGAGCCAAAGATTCCATTAGCTTGTTGAGTCAGAATTGTTTAGCTAGACTTGTAGATTCAAGTGTATGGCACTAAGAGATTTGATATTCATTCATCTTGCATGTGGTTCACCTTGTACCTTGACTTAAAACCTTGTTTTATTTCTCTGCAGTTATGGGACTGAGGAAACACCTGTTAAGGACTTTAAGGAGCTACCATTCTTCAAGGTTCTCTCTGTCTCTCTCTTTATCCCAATAAATTTTCTCATTCCTTGATATACTGAATATTACTCATGCAATCAGATATATTTGGCTGAACTTCATAAAACATGTATACCTTTCTATGACATCCAGATAACTAAACATGGGGGAATGGGGGAGGTTCGGCGGTTATCGAGTTGGGAATGGAGGAGAATGGATCTAGGGGGGGGAGCGGAGAATGCGGTGGAAGAGGCAGAGATTAGAAAGTTCAAGATAAGGGAAGGAAAAGGGAACAGCTTTGATTCTTCAACTTTTGAAGTGGTCATTGGAAGATTAGGCATTGATTTGGGTTGTAGAAGGAAAATATATGAGGGGCTGTTAAGGGTGATATTTTGGAGACTCCGAAAAACCCAGAGCTTTAAGCAAGTCTAACATGGTTCTTGTTACAAAGGTTTTTTTGAGACTGAAAGATGGTCTGGTAGGTGCAGGACTGACCAACAAATACAAAAGAAGAGAAGCAAAAGCTAGAATTTCTTGTGTTGAGAACCCCCAAGAGGAGAAGCGATCTCTGCAGACTGGAGACAGGAATGAGATTCATCCAGAAAAACAAGAGGATTTGGGAGTGGGACTGAAGGAAAGGGATGAAGTGGTAATGGGTCTGGAAGGGGGAAATGTTCAAAAAGAAGGAAGATTAGGGGGGGGGGGGAGGATGGAAATCGAGAAGTTAGTGAATAGTCAGGTGGAAGTGGGAAAATCTCTCGGTTTGTTCTTTTTGGGAGGGGAGAGTGTGGTCAGGTAGGCAATAGAACAGTTTGAAAAAAATATATATAAGAGAATAAAGAAATAAAAAAAAAAAATAGTTGGGGAGGGAGGAGAGAAATGGGACGAAGGAGAGGGAAGGGAAGAGTGAGGGGGGGGGGGGATGTTCGGAAGTTTAATTTAGTAGAGTATGGGAGGGGGGTGGCAGAACCAATGTGGCTATCCTGGAATGTGAGGGGTCCTGGAGCTGGTAGAAGTTGGTGGCAGCTGCGGCCAAATCCATTGCAGATTGTTTTATGATTTTTCCAGAGCTACTCAGCATTGATAGAAGATTTAGGAGTTTGATTCTGGGAGGGGGTGAGAATTCAAAATTGTAATCTGGAAAATTAAATTTTGCTCCAGTTCTACTTAGTCTCAGGTGGGGCGCTATCTTATCAGCTACCTAGATTGCACTCTTTTTTCCTTTTAATGAAATTTTGTTTTTACTTATAAAAATGTTTTACAATACCTGTATTAGCAAAGTAATATGCAGCTTTGAGCCTACAAACTTTTTTTGTTCCAATTGTTGCATGTATTATTTTTTAGCTCCTAACAATTTATTTATTTATTTTTACGATAAGAAATTATTGGCATGGTTGTGTTAGTTTCAGTCACTTCCCCATCTTGATAAATGAAGTGGTAAAGGACTTCTTTTTTCCCAACTTGTAGGGGTTTAAGGCAAGGGGACCCACTTTCTTCTTTCCTCTTCACCTTGTTAGTTGATGTGTTAAGTAGAATGATTTCAAAGGCTGATAGGGAAAATTTAATAAGTGGTTGGAAAGTAGATAGACTTGTAGTGTCAGTTACCCATATTCAATTTGCAGATGATATTCTAGTTTTCAGTGAAAGAGGGGACCTTGAGAAGGCAAGGAATCTAAAGACTATGGTGAAAAGGTTCGAAAGAATGTCCAATCTGAGAGTTAACCTGGAAAAGAGCAGTGTGGCAGGGATAAATTTGGATAATAGAGTGGTGGAGGCAATTGCAGGATGTTTAGAGTGCTCCGTAGTTACTTGGCCTATGACCTACCTGGGACTTCCTTTAGGGGCAAACCATAGGGAGAATAGTTTCTGGTGTCCAGTATTAGGGAAGTTAGAGAAGCAATTGGCTGTGTGGAAGATGAATTATATTTCTTTTAGGGGTAGGATTACCCTGATTAGAGCCACCCTGTCTAACCTACCAACCTACTTCTTGTCTGTCTTTAGGATCCCCTCTAAGGAAGCTAAGAAGCTAGAAAAGTTGATGAGGGATTTCTTGTGAGAACTGAGAGAGGGTAGAAAGGATCATCTGGTGAAGTGGGAAGTGGTGTGCAGAAGTAAAGAGGAGGGAGGTTTGGGAATACAGAATATGGAATTATTGGGAAATGGTTATGGAGATGGCCATAGAGAGAGCTAGACTGTGGCATGAGGTGATAAGATGTTCATGGTTAATTGGAGAATGGATAGGATGCTGGGGTTTCTCGGTGGGCAACTTTGGCAACACCTTGGAAGGCAATTCACAGTGTTCTCCCTCAACTTTACAAAATTCTCAGGTATGATGTTTGTATTGGTAATTCGGTTCTTTTTTGGGAAGATATTTGTGTCGAAGAGGCTCCTCCTTTGAAGGACCTCTTTTCGTCTTTGTTCACTATCTCTTGATATAAGAGAGAGCTTGTGTCAAAATTCTGTTCTCCCTTGGAATCTCCCCTGACACCAGTTTGGGGTTTCGGTTTTCAGGGAGGTGTAAGGGATGAGGAAATTGTGAGTCTAACCCGCTTGTTGAGTACCCTTGAAAAAGTTTATTTGGATCCCACAGAGCCAGATAAAAGGTTTTGACTCTTGTGCCCTTGGGTAGGTTTTCTTGCGCTTCTTTCTTTAAGGGCCTTTGTCGTCACGTGTCTACTCAGTCTTTCCCCTTTAAAGAGGTCTGGTGTAGGCCTGTTCCCCTAATGTTTTGGCATTCTGTTGGGAAGTGTTTTATGGGAAAGTAAACACCTCGGATAATCTACAAAGGAGAAGGCCCTATCTTTGCATCTCACCTGATTGGTGCACTCTTTGCAGATCCCATAGTGAGGATTGTTATCATTTACTAATTTCCTGTATGGTTAAGCAGATTTGTAGGATTGGCTCTTCCTGATCTTTGGATGCAGGTGAAATAGACCAGTAGAAGTAAGCTTGCTTTTTGACCCTTCTATCTTTTCTTGGCGCCAATGAAGAGAAAGAATAATGTGGAGGGTTAGAAGAGCAGCCTTGCTTTGGACAGTGTGGGAAGAAAGGAATGCTAGAATATTCCAAGAGAAGGAGAGAAGCCAACAAGAATTGAAGGACTATATGCTGTATAGGGCTATCTCATGGCTAAAATCTTTGGATTTATTTCAGCAGTTTTCTTTCAATGATCTGGAGGCATTGGGCAGCAGTGGCAAGTAGTTCCTCGTTAAAGATAAAGGCGCAGATGAGCTGGGTACAACCACCTGAAGGTTTTATGAAAAATTTTGATGGTAGCATTCAGGGCAATCCAGGTTATTCTGGGATGGGAGGAGTTACGAGGAATGAAAGTGGCATCACATGAAACTTTATGTTTCATGTTGTGTTTCTATCCTCTTCCCTAATAAAATCTCTCATTTATCAAAAAAAAAATATTTGCATGTTGTGTTTTTACAAATGTCATCACATGAAACTTTATAAGTACTACTTTATTTGGAATAGTGAAATATTTCACAAGGTAACTAGGGTATCAGCATATTGGATGGGATGCTCATGTCTTTGGGAACAAGTCAGGTTTGGTATCGGTAAGGACCACCTGAGCTTAATCCTGTTATAGTTTCCTTCTACCCTGCCACGTGAAAAAAAAAAGAAGAATTAATACCAAATACAACCTAAGCATTAGCAAAAACCATTACCTGCAGCACCCCATGAAGATGGGATAGTGGCATCAGACATTAACTTGACTATCCAAAGGATATAAAATTCAAACTAGGGTAATGGAGGAGGAAGGTTTCTTACCAGCAACAAAATGGAGGAGAGAAGTGGAAGTAGAAGCCAAGAAATTCTGTGTTAAAGAAGCTAGGAACAATGGAAGGCGGGCATTAAAAGTCAGAGAAGAGAAAAGAGCCACCATTTTTGTAGTAGAGGAGACAATAAAACAGTGTTGGAAGAGTTCAGTGGGTGTAAGTGGAAAAAGGTATGAGGTTGAAATCAGGAGAAATGTGAAAGGTTGGTTTGTAGTGATCATGAAAATTTTTGTTGATAATAACAGATGTTGTGTGTGCCGGAGAGGAGGCAAAGAATAGGGTGGAGATTGTTTGCAGACTTATTACAGGGGACACTGTTGAAAGTGGAAGAAAGACAGGTACCAAGATTGCACAGTGGCTCAGAGATAAGTGATGATTGGCTTTATAGGGAGGAATTGAAGGAGGAAAAAACTAAAAGAAGAAATTCTGCAACTAACTGTGTTTAGTTCTACCAGAAGTCAGAAGATGTATGGGCAAAGAGTTTGATTTGAACAGCATCTAAAAAATTTGCAGATTAAGTCAGAAGCCTTAATCGCCAGAACTGGGCTTCTGTTTGCGGATGCCACTTGGGAATCAAATTCATAATTCAGCAGTCATATCCTGGTTTCAACCTTGTGGACAAGGTTGTTTTTTAGGAGAGGGCGATTGATGAGACCACAGGGCTCTCTTTCACAGGTACTCAGGCCCAGACCTTGGCCCATGTGAGTAGCCCACAGACCACAGGCACAACATCTATCGCATGCTTGGTTTGCTTTGTCTACACCAGAAGGCAGGACATGTCAGCCAATTAGTTAGAATCTCCATGTGGGAAGTCAGAATCGGTTAGAATATTGGTAATGGGTAATGATTTTAATAAGCCATATATAGAAAATGTGGGGAAGGGAAGGTTATGTGAGTTTGAACCCTATTTTCCTTTCTTCCTTCATTTCTTCTTCTTGTAGGAGGTGAACCCCCTCGAAGTGGTTTCTGTGTTGGGCAGTGACCCAACACATTTTCTCCCAGCAGTGTTCTAAGGGTGTTTTCATGTGTAAGACTTGAGGAAATTTGTAGTGAAAGTGCACTGAGGCACAAATACAAAGTTTGGCACTGCATGCTTACAAGTTATGAAACATGAGTATTGTTGGTACCTTTCTGATGGTCAAATTTGAGGTGTGAAGCTTGATCTCATGAACATCTTGCATCATGTTAAGAAAATGTAAACTTCATCTTTATTTTTGCTTAATTTCTAGGTCTAACAAGGATTTTGAAAGTCCAGTTCAGTTGCTCAGTAAAACACAAAGAAACCTAGTAAAAAGAGAAAACAAAACCAAGCTTTATTGAAGAAACTCCTTTTTTGTAGGATACAGACGGGAGTATTGATGAGTACCATTGGATCACCATAGAGGGAGATTCACAGATTGTGATAGGATTGTTAGTGAAAGATAAAGAATGCATTTTGAGGCCTAGGACATTTCTATTCAAAGCGAACCTCTCATTAGATTGTCTTCATGGATTGGCTAATGTGATTGCTGATGGTTTAGTAAGAGATAGAATATCATGGAGTGGACTGCATTAGGGTATTTTGCTTTGCTGAACTTGAGAACTATTTCTATGTGTTTGTATGGGTGACCTGGCCCCTCGTAATCCTGACTTGTATTTTTTCTAATGGGTTCATGGGATTTACCGAAGCATCTCAGTGGGATAGAATGATAATACTTTATGTAGGTTCCACGTTTTGATAAACAACTGTACATCTTGATGTCTATTTGCAAATTTTCAGGCTAAATACATATGCATTGATGGTGATGGAACAGTTCCAACAGAATCAGCTATGGTATGTAATCTTATTTATTTATTTATTTTTGATAAGCATATGGTATATGGGCTTCATTCTATTTGATAAACCAACACTAAAAAACACCTATAATGTCTGTTCCTCTATTTTGTATATGTTTGGGGAAAGGAACTGCATTTCATTAATTTTTCACAGTTTTCTATTGCTCTGGATTCCTTCAAAATTGTTTTTCTGTTTCTGTTGATTCAGCTTAATCTGTAAACCATTAATAAGTAAATGGAGATATTTAAATTGATGATAAAATCTGTAAACCATTTAGTGTTTTTTCCTTTTCTTGAGGTCCTTTGTTGCTCTTGGAAGAAAAGTGTGTTTGTCTTCCTCTTGTAAATCTTCTATTGATGATTTAATGAAAGTGTTATTGATCAAAAAAAATCATGAAATATTTAATATGCTGAAAAAATTGTGAGGAACTTCTCCACACTATGAGAGCAAACTAAAAGTAAAATCATTGGAGAGGAGATAAGAGCTGAACCAAGACCATACTAGTACAAATATGGTGGGAGAGGTGGATAGAAGCTCTTGGTTTTTTATGGGATCACTCAACAAAAACTAATAGTAAAACTGTAAAAGGATTAGTAATGCACCCCAACCAGTGATCCGTATAAGGCTTTGCACACAGGATTTTTGTCTAGTAGCAGAATCCACGAGATTATGGTACATAGTTCATCAGTCATGTGCAATTTGTGGATCACTGATGTAGCTCCATGATATTTCTATTTTAGTTCATCAATAGCAGTGTTCTTTTCTTCTTTTTTAGACAGAAAAAATGCTAGTAAATCAGTAGTTACAATGCTAAATGCAGGATTTGATCCAAGGTCTGGGTTTAAAACCCCCCAAAATTTTACAAAACAAGCTGGCAAAAATAATGAAAACAATAATAATTTTGAAATAAAGAATCAGCTTTGCTAATCGGCCAATTAGCAGTTTACTGGATGAGGAATGCTTTGGATTGGCAACGTGTTCAATCCTCCAGTCAACATAATCCCTGTACCCCATGTTTTATTATTATTTTCCTGATTGATATTGAAAAGTAGAAACCCAATGAACATCAAAATATTTATTCTGTTCTCATGCAAATCTATTTTTTTAAGTTATATGTTGCCCTTGTTCCAGAGTAGGGAGAACATGCAGGAATAAGAGCAAATAGGGTGGAATTGTACCATGGATGGAATTGATCTGTTATTGAAAAAAAGAAACTTGAGAGTTGAGAGCAAGGCTTTAAAAGGCTAAAGGCGTAGTTGAGGCATAATGGCCCAAAAAGGCGAGGTGTAAGCTTCAAAGCCTAAGGAAAAATTAGTTGAAGTTTATAAATTGATTAAAATAACATATAATATACCAAATTAGAATGATAAAAAGGTATAAATATCCATGAATTAGAAGTTTATAAGCAATAAGTTTCAGTGTTTAAGCATTAAGTAAAATAATAACTAATCAATTAATAGTCATAAATATTTTATATTTTCATGTTTCAAGATGTAAAGTTCTCAAATTATTTATATGGCCAATTTAGAAGAAAGAAAACATATGAAGAATAATCCATATAATTGATATTAGATTTATGGTCATCGAATGGTTTAGAAGAAAGGAAATAACTTAGTTGGTTTGATCTATGCAAAAAAAAAAATCAATAAAAAGAAAAAAAAAATCATTAAGAAAAGAAACGAGAAAATTTTGGTTATCCAAGAGAAACTAATAACTTAATTGGCCCTTTTTGCATTGAACTCTCCTAAAACACTAAGAGAAACCAATGGAACTTGATTTGCCCTATTAGTTTTTCATTTTTACTCTTTTCATTTGGCCTATAATTATTGAAGTGCTTCTTCCATATGTTTTGAACTATAAAAATGCATAAAATATACATTTTTTTTGCATTAAACCATTGATAATTGAGGTTTATGCCTAGGGGTGCAAGTCAGGCAGGTTGGGCCGGGTTTATGGTCAACCAGGCCCAACCCTGAAATTTGGGCTTAAGTCTCAAGCCCGATGTCAAGTCTGATCCTCCCAACCTGAGCCCAGCCCGCATTGTAATTTGATGCACTTGGGTTGGGCTTAGGCCCGGGCTGGGCTTGAGTTGGTCAATGAACCCACTCTAAAATTATACATGTATGTATGCGTCTATGAAAATATGTATACACATGTATGTATGTATGTATATATATATATATATATACATTGTATATATGAATGCCTATAGTTGGGTTGGGTTCGAGTTGGGTTGAGCCCAGCCCGCATTGTAATTTGATGCACTTGGGTTGGGCTTAGGCCTGGGCTGGGCTTGAGTTGGTCAATGAACCCACTCTAAAATTATACATGTATGTATGCGTCTATGAAAATATGTATACACATATGTATATATATATATATATATATATACATTGTATATATGAATGCCTATAGTTGGGTTGGGCTCGAGTTGGGTTTGGGCTACCCAATGAGTAGGCCTGGGCCCGGCCCAAAAAATAAAAAAGCCTGAATTCTTGGGCCTGATTCCAGCTTGAGGACTGAAAATCCAAGCCCAGCCAACTTGCATCATCCCTACTTACACCTTAAGCTATGCCTCATGCATAGAGGCTTGAGCTTTACGCCTCATTCTGACAAAGGCTTAAGCCTACATCAAAGTTTGTGAGGCTTAAGCCTTAAGGCAAAATCTGTGCACCTCACCACAGGGCATATACCTCACTCTACATGGCTTAAGCCTTTTAAAACAATGGTTGAGAGAAGGTTGATTTTCCCATGAGGCAAAAGGAAGGAGGTAGTGATATATTTCGGTTTGCTTGTTCTTTCCCCTTTTCACCCAACAATTTTTGGGAAGTGGACTGGGATATGAAATCCCTACTCCTAGGAAGCTCTAGATAAATAGAAGGGCATTCGTCTTAATAATATATTTGAGAAAATGAAAATTACTCCCTATTTTCAGCCTCAGTAGGCAATATAGCAAATAGAGATGCAATTTCAGGTGCTGGCTTGTTGACCACAGAAGGATGATTTGAAATAAAAGATATATTTAACATAGTCCCTGTTTTACAAACGATTGGATGAGTTAGGGAGTGGTATCAGAGAAGGGTGTGTGCAATCTTAACCATCTGATACAATCCTTTATGGAAACTCCATACTAGCAGACTACCAATTGGAAGAATTCCTGAAGAACTACTCTATTATTTATCTTTTATTTTATTTTATTTTATTTACTTTGCTTCTATTTTTATGTCCTTAAACCAACCATGAACTATGAGAGGTACTAAAAGTGATTGGAATGCATAAAAATACAGGGGCATTATACTACTATTCTAAAAGCTAGTTGTAAACACTAGTAAATAGACTTTAACCAAGTGAACTAGTCATTTGTCAACCTAGTTGATGCTTTTAGTCGTCTGGGCAGCTGCATTATAGTTCTTGACTGAATAGTTACTAATGCAGTTAGTATATCCCTAACTAAGTAATCAGTTGACCATTCATTGACTAATCAATGCTTTGATGCCTGCTAAAACCTACTATAGAATACTAGAATCCATAGTACTTGCTTCATCAAGTATCTCTGAGTATGGTCTGTCCATGAACTTGTCCTTTTCCTTTTCTATAGACATTTCTCTGGAAGCATAAAAACTAGTTATTTTCCTTCCACAAAAGAAAAAAAATTATCCCATTTATGATTCGCTATGGCATCTGCTAATAACTGGTTCCATGCCAGTTAGATGTAAATGGTCTTAATTTCCAAAAGGTTTTTCTTTACACCTCAAAGTTTAGTGTCATTTCGGGTGACAAATACAATGCACTTGTTGCAATCGCACCTTTGTGGTTGCATTATTTTCCTGTTTTTGTTATCCAGCTGATATCCTCTTTTCCCTCCATGTAATATTTCAAACATTATTATATTCTGTGTGTGTGTGTATTTCTGTGCATGGTTTTCAGTTTTTATCTTTCTAAATTCATTTTGTACACTGTCACTGTGCGTGCTGTTTTTGATCTATACTAAATAGAGGAAACAGCAACCTGGACAATAGAAAAGCAGCAGAAGAGAGAAAAGAAGTGAACTGGAGAAAGAGAAACTGGTGTAGGAGAGAAATCTGTTTTCTACCTTAGCACCACTTCTATTATAGTAAGAAGCTGAAATACAATAACTGATAACTTCCCTCTTTAAATCTCAAGTAGATGGACAAATTGATGAGCTGTCTACACCAAGACACATTATGCTACTAACACTGATACTCTTATTTCTCTTAAATTCATATTGTGCATGTCAGAGTCTGTCTGTGTCTCTCTGTGCATGTAGTAGTTTCACCGTCTTTATCTTCTAAAGCTCCAAAGGTGGAACAGCTTTTTGAGAACGTGACAAGTTGGTAGCTGCACAACCAACAAGTTAAAATCAATGTTTAGAAAACCGGACTGGACCGGCTGAACCGTGACCTAGGGCCTTGGCCATTTCAATCATACTCTAATAACTGTATTTGTTAAAAACCTGGTGAAAATTGGCTGACCGGCCGGTTTAACCAGAAAACCGGTGAACCAGCCCAGTTTCATTTAACTGCCTAGGCCATTAAATAATTGAAATTTAAAATATGTTTGACAAGACTTGAACCCATGACCTCCTATTTTCATATATTGCTTAATTACCAATAATCCACCTCTTGTGTTATTTAATGATTCTTTATTGTATAATGTATTTTAAAGAAAATGTAAATTAAAAGACTTGAACATGGGTCATTTGCTTTAAAAATTAAGAAATTTGCTATCCATCCAGGCATCCACCATATTCAAGTATATTAAAAGTTATAAAATATTTTATATAGTATTTATATGACCCATAGTATATATCACAGCTCAACCTCCGTTTTGACCCCGGTTGAACCTCTTACCTGTGAACCTCTCCCTTCTCCGGTTCTATGCCTGGTCCGGTTCTCTAAACATTGGTTAAAACCAACTTTTTAATAGGAATTCCTTACTTAAATAGGATATTGCTTTTAATGTTTTACCTTTCTACCTATTTCATATTTAAATATACTAAAATTTAGTATGGGTAATGTTTACTGAAAATGGACCTGTTTACATATTAAGGCTGCTTGGATTAAAACCATGTTGATTATACGTGGATATAGAAAAAGGGTACGATAATTCTCTTATTGATCAATTAATGTTTAGCTTATTGCTCAATATACAATCCTTTCCACCATCAGCTTTTGTTTGTCCTCCGAATTATGCTATTGTTGTAGCAACAATTTGAAATATTTGCAACATGTCTTACAGTATTATCTCCTTTTCATTCTTTAGGCAGATGGACTTGATGCAGAGGCAAGGGTTGGAGTCCCTGGTGAGCACCGGGGCATACTCTGTGATCGGCATGTATTTCGGATACTCAAGCACTGGCTCAAGGTGGGTGAGCCAGATCCTTTCTACAATCCTCTGAACGATTATGTGATCCTACCAACCGCCTTCGATATGGAAAAGCACCGAGAAGGTGGTTTGGATGCAACGTCACTCAAAGAAGAATGGGAAATCATCTCCAAGGGCCAAGACGACCAAGGTATAAATATAGATGAAAATAAGCAACTTGTGAGCTCATTATGTGTTTCTCAGGTGGAAAAGGATCAATGTTCAGAGGCTGGAGCTTGTGCTGCCATTGTTGTTCACCCCCAGAGTGAGGGAAATCAACATTTTGAGTTCAGAGCAGTTGGTGTGTCAACAGCCTGCTAAGATGGCATCACTTAGGGTTAGCAAGTGAGGCCTCAGCTTCTACCAATGTATCTAAAATTGTATAGTTGAAAGTACTCTCAATGTAAATATGATCTTGAAAGGACTACATAGTACATACTACTCAGAATGCGATGCTGAATATTATACTCTGGAAATATTGATAACTATATTATTAGTTTATAATAATATGTACATAGGGATGATGAATATTTTGGACACTGGAAATGAAGTGTTTAAATAGAAATTTGGTTAGGTTTGGTTTGGTAAATTTGGGTTTTTGAAATCGGTTTGGGTCTAAGCCAAGGTCTATGTCTAGGGTTAGTATATATTGATCGAGATCGATTAGTTTTCAGGGTGACTGAGTATACTAATTAAGCATATTTAGGGTCAAGAGAGATTTAATGGGGAGGGAAAATGTTATAAACATTAACTACAAGAGATTTAAGAGGATCCTCCATTTCCCCCTCTTTCCTCTTTTTAATATAGATATAAATTGGTGGGCATTTTACCACTCTTTTTAAAGTAGCAAAATGTACACTCGTTGCATTGAAAATGGCCATTACCCAATAGCTGATGCTCTGGCTATGTGCGGTATAGGAAGGCTAGTATGGACTGCTGGCACCTATTTTTTTATTATTATTAATTGTTTTTGTATCGACAGCTTTAAAACATTTTTTTTGTTCATGGGATTACACAATCAGGGGTAGCACATCCCCTTCCGGGTCTTCCCTTAACCCCCGAACCTTGTTGTCATGTGGCTAGTCAATGAGGCCCTGTGCGGTGCTCGATGGGGTTGAGAAAGCTTACGAATGCAAGCAACAAATACAAAATGCAACAAGAAGGCACACAAATTAGTCAAAAGGCTACTATTGCATTGATTGATGGTAAGCACAATCACATAATTCGATGTCGAGGGGATCTCATGCTTAACCTTTATATGCTATTGATTCACTCGACTACCTACATTCCCTCAAAGAGTATATTAAGCTTTTGGGGGGGGGGGTGATAAAAGGAAACACCAAAAGAGTGGAAAATCATACTAAGTAATTACAATAATGCCATTGGTAGACCCCCCCTTACAAAAATACATACATAGTCGACCCATGACACACATGATGACACTATGAAGGCATGCTGTAGGCACTCTAATGGCACAATGGAAGGTGCTTGATGGTGCGATGAAGGAGTCATTTGTGATAGTCTCCCCCACTCAATTTGATCTACGTCCTTGGAGATCGGCTTTGATTGGTCCCTTAGAGTTGTTGATGTGGAAGGAGGGTTCTTCTGCTGTTCCACGAATCGGTTGTCATCCAAGGCCGAGGTGTATATTTGGATAGCATGGTTGGGTTGGCTTATTTTGTTGCGGTTTCCTATGGCTAAGTCCTTTCCTAGCGGCTTCAAGGTATGATAGTGGCTGGTTCAGCTTGGCTATAGGGAAGGTTTGGGTCAGGTTAGGGTCAAAATGATGTTTTGGATTGTGGGGGTATTGGTTCCCATGAATGCTTCCCCAAGGGCGACTTCTCACAGGGCTACTATGTGATTTAGTCTGAGGAATGGTGCGAAAGTGGTCCCTAGATGGCTTGGGTGGCACTCGCTCTCCCGGTGGTTGTGGTAGTAGGTGTGGGGGAAATCAGACATGGCCTTGGGTCTTCTTGTTGGGCCTGTCAGTTAAGGGCGTATGCGGCTTCTGCTGATGCAGTGGCACTGAGGATGACTTGGAGGGCTGTTGTTGTTGCTGCTGCTTCATGTTGGTGTCTTCACTTGATTGGTGCTTCATGACTGAGGCAAGGTGACTGGAGGTCTTCTTTGCTGCATGCTTTATACTGGCTCCGGGCTTTGCTTTAATGTGTAAGAGTTGCAGTGTTGACACTTGTCTCTTTTGGACCTTGGTGGAGGTTGTAACTGGCACCATGCAAGGGGAGCTCTCATCCAGGATGCATAATGAGTTGATGTGCGGCATAAGGGCTGCTTCCGCTTGCATTAGAAAATCCATCCCCAAGACAACTTGAAAGTCATCCAAGGATACCACAGATAAATTAATTTTTCCCTTCCAAGGTCCAACTTGAAGGTCTACCCCACGGGCCTGGCCTTCAACCGCTTTGGCACCAGAGTTTACAGCTTTGAGCCAGCCTATTTCCTTGGTGATCGGAAGGGCTAGCCGCTTGGCCTCAGCAATGGAAATGAAGTTGTGTATGGCCCCAGTGTCTACTAGGGACTGAGCCGGCTTCCCGTCGAGGGTGATGTTTACATATTGGAGCCCCTTATGGGCTTTGTTAGGTCGTCTTGGTGTGGTCTCTTTCTTCACCATTGCATTGAAAAGTTGAAATGCACCCACTCTTGGTGCTTGCATTGACTTTTCCTCGTCATTTTGCTCATCATCATTGAGTTTGGTGACAAGGGCATTGATCTTCTTCTTTGTTGGGCAATCATGAGCCAAATACTTCTCCCCACAAATAAAGCAAGAGAGTGGAGGTCTATTGGTTCTAGGCCTGTACCTATGTTGGTGACCTTGATCTTCTTATGGCTTCTTCCCATAGTCCTGTGTAGCTGGCTTGCTAAAGTTTGAGCTGATGTGAGGAGGGCATGATTGATTGGCTTCCCCACTCAAATCTAAGGCACGTAGGCTGGTTGGCTTTGGGGATTCTTCAACTGACAAGCTTGTCTCATTTAGTTGTTCTGTCATGACCATTGTGGTGGCAAGGTCCTATATGTTGCGGCGTTGGAGCTCTAATTCGGCCCATGGTTTCAGTCCGTTCATGAAGTTGAACAGTAGATCCTTGTCGAACATGTCAGTGATCTCCAGGGTAAGGGCTGAAAACTCTTTGACATAGTCGTGGAGTGAATCTGCATGCTTGAGTGTTTTCAACTTTTTCCATGCCAGGTACTCCACGTTCTTTGGATAGAATTGCTTCCTTAGTTCTCGCTTGAAAGCTACCCACGTGTTAATGGTGCATGTGCCCCGCTCAATGTCTTGGCATCGCCTGCGCCACCATAGCATAGCAATGTCAGTCAAATACATTATCACAATACAAACCTGAGTTAGGTCATCATCAATGTCAGCGGCAAGGAAATATTGTTTCATTTGCCATAAGAAGTTGTCTAGTTCTCGAGCATCTCGGGAGTTGGCATAAGGTGTGGGCTCCCGGATCTTTACACGAGTAGGGGCCAGTGTTGTGGAGGGGCTAGGAGTGCTGGCCACTAATCTCTTGAGGAGTGTCATGTCTCCTCTTAGTTCATCCAGTTGTGCCTAGAGGTCAGTAGGAGCGGCCATGGCTGCTTTCATGGCCATCCACTCTCTTCTGATGTCTTCCAATTGTGCTTGAATGGCTGTAGGTGGGGGCATGGCTCTCTTCCATGTCGACCATTCAGCTCTCATCTTGTCAACCTGGTCTTGGATGTTGGATCGGGATGAGCTCCCTTCTTGTCGAGATGTTGTGCCAATGACTTCCTTGAGGGTACCATTCAGGATGTCTTGGACCTCATTCATGGTGCCATTCAAACGGGCTTCTAGCTCTACCATGGATCTCTCAATGGTTTCCACGTTTAGGTGGATTTCTTCTACTCGGTCACGCATCTCCCCAACGGTCACTTCACAACGAAGAATGCACATGTTGAAGGCAGTAAGCTTGTCAACCAACTTGTCGCGCTTGCTTGCTTTAGATGTGCGGCCCTTTGGGGCCTTCTTTGTGATAGCTTCATCACTTAGTGCCTCATCGGTCTCCCTTGCATGGGCAAGGCCATGCTGAATCTCATCGGTGAGTTCCTTGTTGTGCTTCATTGCGCCACTACTAATGTTGCTATGCAAGGGTCACGTGTGTTGAAGAGGAATTTGCTCTAATACCAACTGCGGTAGCTGTTGGCTAGCTCGTTCTGATACCAACTGTCACAAGGCTAGTCAACGAGGTCCCGTGCGACGCTCGATGAGGTCAAGAAAGCTTGCGAATGCAAGCAACAAACACAAAAGGCAACAAGAAGGCACACAAATTAGTCAAAAGGCTACTTGTATTGCATTGATTGATGGTAAGCACAAGCACATAGTTTAGTGTCGAGGAGATCTTGTGCTTAACCTTTACATGCTATTGACTCACTCGACTACCTATCTCCCCTCAAAGAGTACGTTAAGCTTTTGGGGGAGTGACAAAAAGAAACATCAAAAGAGTGGAAAATCATACTAAGTAATTACAATAATGCCATTGGCAGACCCCCCTTACAAAGATACATACATAGTCCACCCATGGCACACATGATGACACCATGAAGGCATGATGTAGGCACTCTAATGGCAGAGTGGAAGGTGCTCGATGGCGCAATGAAGGAGTCACTTGTGACATTGTGGCACTAGAATGCATGGTTTTCAATCCTCAAAACCGGATTTTCCATAAAAACCGTTGATTTTGGTTATCAAACTACTGACCTGGGTGGTTAATCGTTCGAATGGTTTTGATTGGTTTTCATTTTTTTCATTTTTTTTATTTTTTTGTCAGAACGAGCCAACCGTTTGACTCGGTAATTGGACCCCTGACCGGTTCGGTTTTAAAAACCATGCCAGAATGTGATATTGTGATCCCAAGTCTCTACTCTAACCATGGTTTCTAAAACCGATCCGGAGATCGAACCGATCAGGGGTCTGGTTACCGGGTCAAACGGTCCGACTGTTCAAACCGAACGATCGACTCGTTCTGACAAAAAAAAATGAAAACTGGTCAAAATTGTTCGAACGGTTAATCGTTCGGGTTGGTGGTTTTGCTAACCAAAATCAACAATTTTTATGGAAAATCGAACCGATTCCCGATTTTTCTGGTCCAACTGTCCGGTCCAGTCTAGTTTTGAAAACCATGACTCTAACGAGTGAGAGATCCTAGCAATTATTGACACCTCTAAAACTTGAACCCATGTTTCCATGCTTGTCTGTCCAGACTTCATCGCACCAAACAATGGCCCATCAAAGGCGTCAAGTAAAAATTAAAAATTATGTTAGTAAAGTAATAGATCTAATTATCTAAAGGCCAACTTTTGTAGCATATATATATATATATATATATATATACATGCCCTATTGGCTGGTCCCACATAACATAAACAGGACCTCTGTTATTGCACCGTTAAAAACTGTTAAAATTACATTCCCAAAAGAATTATAATACCAAATTTGCCCCTAAATCTTCAAAACATTGCGTAAATCTTCCTCTCCTCATTGTCCTTGAACGAAGTTGGGATGATTAAAGCAAATCTCTCCTGTCATTGTCCAACGTTTTGAGGACTTTGAAGATAGTAGTAGTTGGCCAAATCTTCAAAACGAGAAAGAAGATCCGACTGGACCATGATTCAAGCAAGAGTTAATAACGGTTATTGCAAATCTCCTCAATCGATTGGTTAAAGCAAATCTCCTTTAAAGGAAATCTGGTTAAAGCAACTACTATGCCTAACCCTCTAATGTTAAAGCTAACCTCCTCAAAACAACCTATCGTTAAAGAAACGATTCTTGCCCAACGTTTTCTGGATAAAAAAAAGAATACATTGTGGCCGTAGAGTAGAAGCAAGAACAGCATTTCTGTCTATTCTCAGATTTTGTGTACAAATTATTTGGCCACTAATCACTTTTAAAAAGGCAAAAATAGAAGAAAAAAAAATCCATTTGTGTGAAAATGCACATATGTGATGCTTAAATGTGCAGGAGAAAGAAATGCTTAAAATCTGCTCACTGAAATTTTTAAGAAAATAAATGGGAAAGAAAAGATACATTCGCCCAAGGGAATTAGAATGCATTTCCAGTGGACATAACTGCCGCTTTCATTTGGCTTCATTCTATAATTTGGTGGCAAGTGCCTTTGCAACCTCTAGTTTCTCAAGCTGAATGGCCAGACCACATCTGTAATTAGGATCTGTAGCTGTAGCCAAGGTTCAAAGTATTGACACACTTGTATTTTTTTCGAAATTGGTTCAGTGGGGTTGGTTTAAGGCCTGAATCAGTGTCTGACCTGATACAACCCCTGGAAGGGATAGGTGTATCGGGAAGCCATTAGCACAATACGTATCGACTGATACGGACCAATATGTATCGATACAACCCCTGTATGATGTTTGGACTTTGGATACACAGGAGAAGGGAGCATGTAAAATAAATTTTATTGAGGCTTAGTGAAGATACTGCTAGGGATCTTTTCAAGATTGCCTTATAAAATCGGAATTTTCTCAGTGTATGTATGTTAAGGACTTGCTTCTATAATTCATTTTCAAGAGACAAGATCCATCTCTTTTTGGTGTTGAGCGACTATTACAAATTTACAAGGTGGTTGTCTCGTCATCCTCTTTATATATTCTCTTATAGCCTTACAGTAAAGTGTTATAATTTTGGAACCAAGGTGCTCCACTATGGCTAAAGTGTGAAATGCATGCAAAGTTTTCACTTCCTGAACTGTGACTGTAATATTGATGCAATATTCTGTTAGCTATGAGGGCCCAGTTTGGAAGGAGTACAAATACAAATATGTAAAGTGCAAAACAAACCAGGGGAACTACAGTGTTATGACCTAGCAAATGAAATGGTTTCACAAAATGCACCTGGAAGAGGGTAAAATCCATGTCTGGTAGGCTCCACCTAAGATATCCATGCCAAAATTAACCTGCCTGCTGAGATAAACCTCATAATCAGCTGCATCAAAGTTCTTCTGTCTCGAGAAAAACAAATATATGTCAAAAGAAAATATAAAAGGTTTTTTGGAGAAGTACGGATAGACCCAGTGCAGATTTTTGATTCCCACTGAACAGCTATAAACATTCAAAATGTCAAAAAAATACATCCTATGCACCTAGACCCGCCTGTGAATTGGCATCAATTCCGACCTGGCACCTACCCTAAATGTAGTTTAAACCTACAAATTCTAGAGACGGGGGTTATCGGTCATTCTCCCAAGGTTTTTTATGGTAAATGGAAGATATAAAAGTTGGAGGTCCCAAATTAGACAAGACTGGCTGATCAAGATCATGATAGTAAAACAATCACTTGATTGTATTAAGCATACTTCATCCTTGTATGAAATCTCCAATTCTCCATGGCAGGGATAACCCCTTTGATGGGTACACTACAACCAATGTATGATTACAAATGCAGTTACTACTATGCCTGTGGTTCACAAGGTGGCACATCAAAGTCTAAAACAAATGCCATCATCTTCTACATGATATTGGACAAAGAAACCAAAAATAAAATGAAATACGAAGTCAATTTCCTATTTTGATGGTATATAGCCAAAGTATTAGTTAAAAAGGTCAGTTGAGGAAAGCACAGGCCTGTGGAGGAAGAAGAGAGTTCTCTCTGGAGATCCTTGACAACAGCGGCAAGAGCTTCAGGGTTCAGACCCAAGTCACAAAGGTTTATGAGGATGGATAGGGTGTAACGGTCAAACCCTGTATCGAGAATATTTGACATGTGAAAAGCCAGGTCAACAGATTCCTGGGCCCTTTGGGCAGCTTCCAGATCCATACTGACAACTAGAAAGCATATTAGCAATTAGAAAATAGAACGATGCTGGTAAACAATGAGGTTATCCAACTCTCAGATAATATGATAGGGTCCATGAAAAATCATGATACACTACAAGACAAAGTTGGACATGTCTGTAGGGTGAGGAAAACAAAGAAGTGCATAAATTTGTTGTTTATTAGCATTTCTCAGCAAATAGTGGCCAGACAATATGAATGCTTTTTAACTTAATTCACATATTAAGAAATATGGACCCAAGTTCATCGGAATATACATTTGTTGGCTATCCTTAGTGTAATGATTCTGATCTACTGTCTGAGAAAAGGAAAAGTGTTCCTTCTCTCTAGCTACATACAGAACAGTTTAGGCTCTTGGATTCATAGACATGATATAAGGAAGGTAAAAAAAAAAACTGAGAGGGGAATTAGGAGTAACCTTCAAAGCATCACTAAATATTTTTGATGATGCTTTGGCAACACAGAGTGAACAGAAGGTTATTCCACTGGGGGAGAGGGGGGTAATTTTCCCAGAGGAAAGTTTGTAATTTGAAAATTAAATTTCTGATGCATTGGATTGGGTAGCATTTGCTTGTGGTCATCACTTGGTTTAATTGCAAAATCTTGGGTTTACAACATGGATTAGAGTTTGAGAGTGGCCACTTTGTGCAAAAAATGCCAAAGCATTTTTTTATGTATTTAATTCTGATAAATAACACACAAAACCCAAGGAAATTGAACATGCAAATGAATTATGCATTTAATTCTGATAAATAAAATAAAAATGAAAACAAATCCCACGACAGAGATTGATGCGTTTGAACTTTGAAGAAGTAGAATATAATTTGGATTTCTAGGAGAGACACTTTGTTTTCAGGCTTAACTCATAACTGTTAAGGTTCTTCTTTCATTCAATGGGTTGAGACAATATCCTTAAAATATCAAAATAAATATGATTGAGGAGAAAATTCTACTAGAACTAGAAGCTTCAGATCTCTGCTAGCTGGCATCTTTCTTTGTCCACATGGAAAGATGGGGCAGCCAATTCACGCAGTCCATTTGATAAATAATTCTGGGTAAGCATCAGTCATACTGTCAGAGCAATGACAAATATGCCAGCTTTCATATAAAGCATTGACATTCTCAACCCCTGTGAAGAAAACAGAGTCTCACACACACAAATGAGAAACCCCTACTCATGGGTTTTCCATGCCAAGTTCTCTAGCTAAGATGTGTTGATGGCATGAAAACCATCAATATGGCAGATTAGATGGTACTGAAAAAGGACTCATGTGTTTGCCATGTCATCTCTTGTTTGGTTGATAAGTTACATGACCATGTCATTCCCAATTCTGTAGCCATCTGTTTAGCTTATCTTAAAGTGTATCTGTGCTGTCATGTTCCTTTAGAGTCGTTTAGTCTCTTGCAAATCTTTAGCCCTTGTTGGGCCTGAGTAGAGTGCTCTGGAGGAACCTACATTATCTTTAACTCCCCCAACAACTGAAGGTCCTGGTTTTCCAATATTGCACCCATCAAAGTTATGGTTGATCAGGTTTGTATCTGGTGTCCTCCAGTCCCTTAATGTTTTTAACCTGGAACATGAAGAGCTTGCCACAAATTGTCACTCCCAAAATATCATCCTTGGAGAATGGCTCAAATATCCCTAAATTCTTCACCCAATTAACCACTCTACTCCAGACATTCTTAATGACCTCTTTCTTGGATCTCTTTTTATTTCTCATTGGAAAGTCTGTTATTTCTTTCTTCTCAAAGGGGCCAAACTGTGGATGCCCTAGTGCACCTCCATAGAATTCCTCCCATTCTTTTTCTTGGGTTGAAAAAGTTATCATTGCCATAGTGAAAGCTAGTAAATCTATGACGCTTATAGAACTCTGGGATGGACTTGTTGTCTTTTGCTTGATGTCCATAATGAACATAATTTTTGTATCTACTTCAATACTTTATAATGAAAAAAAAGGATGTTTCTGTTAAAAGAAATGTTCATCAAAGAAAATGGATCATCTTCCATAAGATCAAAAGATGACCAGAACCTCCAAAATGAATATCTATGTGTTTGCTCGTAATTTTGTTTCCAACGTTTAGCTTAATTTCTTGGAGCTTTTGGATTGACTTTGGGTGAGCCCAGATGATATGGTGGATTTAACGCGAAAGTGCCACGCAAGTCTTTCTACTATCCAAAGGCACGAAGCTTCAACCACAGAACCAGAAAGCAAGAGGCATAAGCCTCATGCACATAGATTCCTTTTTTAAGTTAATAAGTAATTAAAAACAAAAGAAAAAGATAAAGGAAAATGGGAAAAATAGAAAATTTCACATTTGCAACTTCTAATAACAGAACCATCACATTCAACTACCAAAACCTGAAATTTTAAAAGCATTAAATGTGAAGCATTGAAGGAATTACATAAAATTAATATAACATAAAGCCTAGGCAGGTAGTTCACAAAGCATAATTCAAATTGCATAATTTTAACAAAAAGTTGAGCACTGAAGCAATCCAAAAATAAAAAGCAAAAAACGAGAAAAAAGAAAAAAAAAGGTTCTTCTTTCTTGAAATTTCAAGAGAATCATATATTTTAAATACCAAATTTGTAACCACTAACTTTCTTGTTCAAAAAATAATAAATTCATTTCTTACAAAATATATATCAATATATATATATATATATATATATATATATATATATATATATATATATATATATATATATTGATGTAGGGTTGCCCAGCCCAGCCCATTCTGGGCTGAGAGGCCCAACCCACGAACGCTAGATCCAGGGATGCAACTCGCCACAGCAGGGGCTATTCTGTTCCCTTCGTACGGAGCCAATCACAGAGCGCCCACACGTCCCTGCAAAGCCCCTTGACCGTCCTCGTATGGCTCCCATCTCATGTGTTTGTCTCTACCAACCTCCAGGCACCTCAAGTATAAGTAGGGGGTACCCCCCCTCCAGGTGAGAGATTCCGATCTTGAGTCTGATCTACTACAGAACTTAAGTGCATTCATCTTCGGAACTTAGTGTCTACGAACAGACTCATCAAAGCCCTCGTCTGTAACTGATTCCCCTCTTCGTACCCTTGTACTAACTTGACCGTCGGAGTCTCTGCCACGGGTTCTCACCCGGGGCCTTTGACATCCTCTGTCTTGTAGAACTTCAGCTACCACCCTTCAGCTTCTACAATACTCGATGCACGATCTACCTCGGCCTCAGCACACCGTCTCCGAACCTTCAAAGCCATCGGCCCACCTCCAGAGCCCAGGGCAAAATTACTTTGTTGTCCTCGGCCAATCCGATCATCAACAATTGCCCATTGGGGATGAAAAATTTGGCTAGATCGCTTAGCAAGCTCCTCCAAGGGTGTGGGGGCAGAAAACGACCCCATTCATTCCTTATGGGGCCCCCTCGGGGCATCCCCTGCTTAGCCCCCGGCGCGGGCCACCTTCTGCGGCGGCTGATCCCTCACAGCCTCCTCGGCCGGTCTCTTTTGCCCCTCCTCGGTCCCTTTGGCGGGCTTCCTCAACCCATCGGTCAGCTTCGATAGCACATGTTGCTCGCGCCTCGTTTGGCCCTCATCAATGGGCCTCTTCCCCTTAGTAGGGACTTGTGGAGTTACTCCCTTCGTAGGAGCTACTGAAGTACTCCCTTTGGCAGGGACCTGTACAACTGTCCCCTCAGCGGTGACTAGGCGAGAGGGCATTCCCTTCGCAGGGGCAGGAGACTTCTCCTTCGGCGCTGACGTGTCCTCGGCGGGCTACTGAGGTGTTTGCGCGCTCGCTTTCGCCCGCTCCTTTTGCATCGCGCAGGCATGATCCATCAAAGTTTTCCAGTGTTCATTGGCACCTCTACAAGCAAAACAAAACCGTTAGTAACACAACACAAGGACGAGGACGAGGGAACGTGTTAAGGGACTACATGGCCTCTCCTAGCAAGGGGGGCAGGACTGAACCCCGCAAAAACTAGTGGGACCTCCTCCTCCACCAAGAGTTGGGCTTGGACTCTCCCCAATATGAATAGCCGCACGAGATCATCGCTCTCCTCACTCGTGAGCAGGGGGACACTCTTCTCTGCAGACAGGCTAGCCTCTCCCCACCCCAACTTGAAGGACCAACCCTCGGGACAGAACAAAAAGAAAAATTTACTCTTCTAGTTATGTACATAAGAGGGGTTATCTACAATCTTGGTCCTATGGGATTGGAAATAGTACACGCTGTCTTCGGAAGAGTGCTTCCTTGGCACGAACATTGCTCGGAAGAGCTTCGGTGTCAGCTCCACCCCCTCGAGCTGAGCAACTACCAGCATCGCCATAATGGTCCTAACAGCGTTGGGCGCTAACTGGCTAAGGGTAATTCCATTCGCCCTCAGCAATTCAGAGATCAACGAATGAAGGGGGAACCGAAAATCGAATTGGAGGAAGTGTTGATAAACGCATATCTCCCCCTCCTTGGGAGTCCACGGCCGGTCACCCACCTCGGGCACCCGCATACCATAGGATGAGGGGATGAAGTACTGCCTCGTTAGAGCCTTGACCTAGTCCCCGTCTAGAAAACTTTCGAACTCTAGGCATGGGAGGCCAGTCTTGGTTGCTACCTGGGCAGCACTCTCAACCCTCACCCCAGGGACGAGGTTTGGGGTCTCCTCCCCCTCGGCCTCCCTTGGCATCACGGATGCGATGCTTTCATAGGGAGGGTCATCGCCTTGGTGGCTACCTTCAGCGCCCTTGGAGGCTACCCTCTCCCAAAGCACCTCCACCTCCTGCCGAAGAGGAACAAAGACAGAAGGGCTTAAAGGGGAAAGGGGAGAAGGGGTTCAAATGGAGCTCCCCTCCGACTCGTTTAGAAGTTCATACCACTTAGGTTTAGAATATGAGAAAAGCATCATTCGAGATTACCTAAAGGGAAGTGGAGGAAGAAGAAGTGAAAACGAAGTGTCGAAGATTGGAGAATTTGGGAGCTGAGTTCACTCGAGAGCAAAGGCACTTAGA